TTTATGTATTTTACCTCTTATTATTAAATGTATCATTTTTGTGTAAAACGTGTATGGTTTTTAATAAAGTCAAGTCAAGTTGATTAAATAATACCAAATCTCCTAAAGGTAATTTTTAGTTAAGATAAAATTATATTAAGTACATTTTTATTAATTCACGCCCCTAAAATATTTTTTGGTAACTAATTTTATTAAAAAAATACTGAGAAACCAATCAAAAATATAAGCATAATACCCTAGTATTGATGAGTGAAAATTTAATTGCTTCTCCTAGAAAATTCATACAATGTTACTTAATACAGTTTTGTTCTGCGGTACAGGTTTTTACATAGTTAAAATATCGTTTAGATTAGAATAGTGTACTACATTGTGTTTAACTAATTTTAAATACCTGCCTCTCAATTTCCTCTTTTCATGGTCACTGATATTGAAATAGTGGGAAAGGTCATTATTATTTATCAGTGTCACGCTTGTTTGTTAATAAATAAGACAAACAATTGTGGCAACTAAGTGATTGTTTACAACTTTAGTCACATAAATACATATATACAAAAGAACTATGCAAATTTTAAGAGACTCGATGAAGTAGACAATCAAAAAATAAGGAGTGTGTAGCGTGAATGATAATATTGCGTAAGAGTACAAAAGATATCAAGGGATAAACCCAGATAGCATAAATAGGTACATTGGGGTCTATTCTGTAACAATTCCTTTATATTTAACGGCCTTTAAAAATATTTTATTCTTTACTTCTGTCATTATTTAAACGGATCTTTAAAATACATTAGAACATCTTAAAGAAATCTGTTTAAATAATGACAAGTAAATTAACGAATACGAACATATGTTTAAAGACCGACAATATTTTTAAAGGCCGTTAAATATAAAGGAATTTTTACAGAATAGACCCCTTTGGCCGTTTATTCGATATACAATATTGGATGTCTGGACGTCAAAAAATGCGTTTATTCTAGACTTCCGACATCGAATTCACGTCCAGTGAAGTATACAAATGGCACAATTTTGACCATTCAGTGGACGTCCAATTCTTGATTATATTTGGACGTTGAATACTGGACATTCAAACAACGTTCATTCCTGTATTATATTCCATTTTTTTTATACAACCGCGACTCACCACACACTATTTTATCTTATTAATAATTTATTTATTATTTTCGCAACCCGCTATACACAATTTCTTTTCTCTTTTTTTAATTAAAAATCGCTTGATCTGAGCAGGGATATCGAATTCACGACACGTCCATTATCGTTCTACCCTTTCAACTGCTAGACGATCTCGACCAAGGAGCCACTTGAAAACTTTTTACTAGATATGATTATAATAGAATAAGATTTCAAACTTCCGCTGATAGAATGAAATGCAATAGATTCAATTTGTCAATTTTTAATGATCATTTAAACAAAAGAAAGTGTATATAGAGGTATTATCTGGTAGGCTAAATAAATAATGACTTAAGATGCAGTGGCGTGCGGAGACATTTTTGGAAGGGGAAGCGATTGTATAAAAATACAGCAGGCCAGTAAGCACAGCGCCCCAGGCGAAAATTTTTCGCGTCGCATTCACCATTTTGTCAAAATCTTGTTTTTTTTCTCAGTACTAAGGATATTCGAGATTGAGATTTTTGAAGTGTTACTATTACTTTATTACCTAGTTTAGTACTAGAAGCTATAAAAAAACTTACCATTGTGAAGCTTCCTTGGTTTATTTAAACGTAAAAAAACATTTAACTAAAGTTTTTTTTTATTTTCTCCAGCATTTTTCGCACAGTTGACACAGCAGTTGACATTTATTTATAGTTAAGATCAATTCGCCTATCCTCAATGGCTGCAAATTTGTCTATAACATCGTCGTAAAATTTTGGATTTTCTGTTTAAAAAGCTGTTTTTCAATGGATATTAGGGCTAAATTAGAGAGTCTGTCTTCACTTGTTGAATTTCGTATAAAACTTTTAATGCTGAAGAACTTCGCTCAACTGACGCACTTGTGGCTGGGATCGTTAGTACTAATTCACACAACTTGACGACTTCACAAAGGGACTTATTTAAATCAGTTGTTATAAGAAAATTTAACACATTGATGGGCGTCTTTTTATCACTAATTTCAGTTGTTTCACAAACAACACTTAACTGGGACTTTAATGCTGGAATATCGAAAAAATTTCCATAATTTAATTTTAGTGAATTAAAAGCTTCCGATTGAAATTTTTATGAATCGTAGTTACTAATATTAAAATTGCACAATTCAACAAATTTTAATTCGTTAAAGTTTTGAAATTGAGAGTTCATTTGTTGTAGAATATTAGCAAAAATTTCGGCGTATAATCGACGATAGGAGGTCTCTCTGTCGCCGACATTATCAATTCTAATTCTCTTTCTTTCAGGTTCTAAGCCAATGTTTTGAGTCTTATTCCAAAAGTGTTCAAACTGATCTCGTTTTTTATTCATTTTATTTTTAAAATCATCAATTTGTTTAATGCAAAAGCCAATGTCATTTGACTTTGTCTGTAAAATGTCGAATAAAATGTCAGTAAAAGGAAAAATCTCTGCAAAAATGTTAAGCAAAAAATTGAAATCAAAGTTTTGTTCGAGCCAATGCAAATACCCTTTAGCAGTAGTAACAGTTTTAGCATCCCATCTTTCTTTATTATCCCAAACGTCTTGAAAAAAGAATCACGGTATTAAAACACTGTTTGCACTAAACGTCCATTGTAGTTCCATCGCGTCGGAGCAACTTTTGGAAACCTTCTTTGAACGTGAACGTCCAAAGCGCGAGTTCTTTTCGATGACTTTGAAAAGAAGGAAGCCAAACCACCAAGCGTCGAAAAGAAAACTTTGCAATCTTTAATATTATCCATGCTTCGCGATAAAACCAAATTAAGTCTTTGTGCTATACAGTGAACGAAAATTGCATGTTTAAACTTTTCTTTCACTTTAGCTTGAAGACCTCCTAAATGACCAGCCATTACGGCAGTACCATCGTAGCTCTGGGCAACAAGGTTAGAACCACATTCTAAACTTGAAATATTGTCACAAACAATTTTAAACAATGCATCTGCAGTTTGTTCGCTAGTGACGTCCAAAAATCCTAAGAATCGCTCTTGAGGAATGCCATCCAATACATATCGCACAACAATGGATAATTGACTTAAGTTTGCTACATCTGTGGTTTCATCGAGGGCAATTGATATGAAAGGTGCTTTTTTAATTTCACTTTTAATGTGACCCATCACAACGTCGGCAGGGCATTTAATTAAATCATTTTGGATTCGGTTTGAGGTACCTCGGAAAGTCGTCGAATCAATAAAATGATTTTTTAGTGTATTATCGTATTTTGCTAAAAAACTTAGAAGGTCCATGTAATTTCCTCGATTGGCGGATCCACTTGTGACTCCTAAAACTTAGTTCATGCTCTCCCAGGAAACAAGTTACATCTATTAATCGTTGTAAGACGTCCCTATTTTTTTACCCTTTTATTGTGAATATTGTTGCTTATTTTTAAATGATTGTCCAAATTATGTTCAATGCGATAGGTCCCGAATGTTTTTTCTTTAATTGTAGCACTTATATGAGATTTGCTATTTACATGTCGTTTTACACTTTTGTGAAAATTATTCAAGTCTGTAATACCGACTGAGTTCCAATGTGTTTTTTCGACTATATTAAAAAGTAGGCAAGGCCAGCAAAACAATTTCTTCAAAGTTTTGTAGCCGGTTAACCATTCATACTTTTCACAGAACCCTACGTGAAAATGCCGGGTAAATTTCTTTGCTGATTTTTTTACTTTCGTCTCTAAATTGATAGGATCCTTTAGTCTATTAGAATTAATAATGTCCGTTTTCGCTTCAAAATTTCTACTTGAAAATCCTTTTTTTAATAAAGAACACACAATACAGACACAATTTACCACATTATTATTGTTCACAGGCACAGTACATAGTTCCTCCATTTTACAAAAAGAAAAACAACTACGAAAAACAAACCGAAATCTACCTAAAATCTAAAATTTTCCTCACACGTCGATTCGCGGTGCGAATTGCAATAAGCGTAAGGCGACGTATTAATCGCTGCCTCTCGACCGTATTTCACGTGTACAAACAGACTGAAACTGTCGCTGCAAAGCAGGGTCAATAACACTAAGCGAAATCACTTGCAAGATGAACAGGTTATTTCAAGAGGCGCTTCCGCTGACAGACCGTTTGTACGTTTACACAATTAATTTTCTCATGGATGCTGCGTGCGTTTACACACCATTGAATTGGTAGTACATTTACGAAGTTTACGTAATGTTTCAGAGAAAATATAGTACCTAATTTAATATTAATTTCTATGCATTGTAAACTTAAAAATATATATTTTTAAATTTCAAAGTGTAGGGAAGCGGTGCTTCCCCCGCTTCCATGGACCGCACGCCTTTGCTAAGATGGATGTCCACTGGACGTCAAAATACTAATAAACTTAAAATTAGGTCCAAAAACAGACCCCTTCTGGGTATCGATATGCAGCTGTCAATTAATGATCATAAACTCACGTACACTGGATGTTCAAATACGGATATTAACGTTCTGACCATCAAATGGATCTAAAGTAGACGTCCATTGGACTATGTGTGCTCTCTGGGAAAGGGAACAGGAATATTGGGTTTTGGGGTAAATATAGAATAAAAACCTTTAAAAGGTTGTGAACATGGTAATTACTAAAGTACAAGAAAAGTCAGAATCAATAATAGAAGAGGGTAGAAACCAGTAAATTCTTGTCTCCAAAAAATGAATAACTGGAGTTCATTCAACTATTTTAGACACTATATATTTGAAAATTTTGAAATAATCTTTAATATCTTTGCTTGTTACTTTAAAAGAACACTGTTTTAGATAATGCATGCTTATTTTCTTGAAGCAGCGTACCTACCTACTTTACTGTTTTAACTTTATAACTCCAATTTTAATTAATTTTATTTTCTTATTTTTTTTTTCTTTCAGGGGAACCAATTCCGTACGACCCGGATTTCAATGGTCCTTTAAGGAAAAGAAGCTGCACTGATGTCCTTTGTTTGGCCGTATTTATTTGTTTTATAGCAGCATGGGCTGGTATTGGACTTTACGGTAAGAATATGTTTCTGTGGAGACAACATAACACATAAACTCTGACACTCCAGAAAGGTACAGGGAATTTTAGATTAGAAAAGCAGAAAAAATCTAATAAGTCTTAAATATGATTTAGCTATTAATTTTTTTTTCATGGTGATTTCGGCTTTGACAACTTAGGCTATTAGCCTTGCGTTCTATGTAGGTTATGGAGTGCTAGAATTCTAATGCTCTATATAGTGTAGGAATACCTAATAGTTCTCTAAATCTCCTTCATGCATACAGACAGGCCTTGGTACTGTTTCCCAGCGCCTCTTTAGAAGCAGCACTGTTAATTATAACCAACAGTGAATGGTCGGAGTGGGAAATCCTACGTGCGAATCAGAATTATTTTTAAATAAAAAAGTTACATAAAAGTAATTTTAAAAAACCGACTTCAAAATCGTGCTTATGCCCTTGAAAATTGAGATTGTTTATTTTCTCATAGATCATCAGATCCTGACCAATTGTACATGAAACTACCCCCGAGGTATCCCCATTGTAACAAAAAAAGAATCATAGAAATCGGACACCGTGGTAAAAATTTATCGCTGAAACAATTTAAAAAATTAAGTTTGATGATTTTTTTATGGACCCCATTATTTGATCTTGACCACATTTATATGGGACCATCCCTGAGGTACCCTCTTTCTAACAAAATCATACAAATCGGACAACGTAATAAAGAATTATCGCTGAACATACATAAAAAGTTATTCTGACGAATTGAGAACCTCCTCCTTTTTGAGTCGCACTTTCGACTTCATCTTACGGAAACTAAACAAATGTTTAAAAAGGTTCTGTTTATATTGTTAAATAATATTTCCAAATACCACGAGAGGTGAGAATTTAGAACATTTTTTTGTTTCCTTACAAATTATTTAAATTTTACGCAACAAAATCTTCCCGAAATACCATTCGACTAATATCTTGTGAGATTTTAAGGAGGAATTTTGTTTCCTAATATTTGGACGCATAATAACTAAAGAAACAAAAAAGTTCTCAAAAAATTCTCACCTCTGTGGTATTACCGTTGATAATATATTCTTAAAAACTCTGTTAATGTTTCTCTGGCCTATAAATTATTTCGTTCTTGCAATCAGTTGTTTGCGTAAACTTCCTGTAATTACCTTATAATATACAGGGTGTCCCGAAATTAGACGGTCATATTTTAACAGCGTAATCTACATCCTAAAATAGATGTAAAAGTTCATATAAAAATAGGTCCGAAAACGTTTCGTTTTCGAGATAGAGGGTGTTATAAGTGAAGTCCTGATGGCACATATTTGTAAATGTTTTTTAAAATTTCTTTAGTCACCGGTTTTTCAAAGTAAAATAAAAAATAAAATTTCTGATTCCACAGGCATATTAATTATTGTTTACACTTTCGAATAAGATAACATCAACTTATGAAATTTTAAAATGCTCTTTTCTTGAAAATGGTGCGTCCTAGCGAGATAATAATAATAATAATAATAATAATAATAATAATAATAATAATAATAATAATAATAATAATAATAATAATAATAATAATAATAATAATAATAATAATAATAATAATAATAATAATAATAATAATAATAATAATGTTTATTCATCTTTAAAAAAATATATATACAATTACATAAAAATATAAATATAAATACAAAGGGCGAATAAACATAAATTATCACAAAAGTAGTGAAACCACTTGTATGTGATACAAACAATATAATCAAACAAACAATATAATTAATGCACCTCTTAAACAAAATTTTATAAAAATATGAATTTTTTGTTATAATATTTATTTATCAGCTGTGATACTAACATTCCACAAGGAAAACCTGTCTGTAGTCCGTCAATATACAACTGACAAAATTTTAATTTTAGTTCAAGTGTGTTTTTTTTTTTTTTTGAGGATCTTAAGATGAGTATATAATTTTTTTTTATATTTATTTATTTTTTTTAAATAAAGTAATTTTCAATCATTTCATGTATCGTTAGTCGAGAGTGTTGTAGTATCCATTTTTTTATCTTTTTCTTGTACAGTCTTTTCGAATTAATAATTTTTATTTCTGTAGGTAGTCTGTTATATAATTTTGGACCCATGTACCAAAAACTTCTCTGGGTATTTGATTTATCGACTTTAGGTAAGATAAAAGTATGGAGCCTAGAACGAGTATTGTAATGGTATTCTTTCTTTTTCAGCTCATTTTTATTATAATGCTGTCGCATAAGAAGATTTTGACAGAAAAGTTGTCTAACATCAAAGAACTGACTCTCTTCGAAGAGCTGCTCTGTCGAGTAGGCATATGGTTTTTTCATTAAAATCTTTATAAGCCATTTTTGCGTAATATTTAATTTATTTATGTGACAATCAAGTGCACCGCCCCAAGCAATAATTGAGTAAGTTATATGGGTTTCAGCAAGAGCATAATATAATATTCTTAACTCATTCCATTTTAATATTTCTGACAAGAATTTGAATGTATGCAGTAACATTCTTAACTTTTTAGTAACAAAGTTGATATGAATATCCCATTTTAAATGATTGTCTATATATATATTCCCAAGTATTTGATATTAGAGACTGCTTTAATTTCTATTCCAATATTGTTGACTTTAATTTCGATTTTGTTATAGTTTGGTAAAGCATTAGCGTATGATGAAAAGGGAACAAAGAATGTCTTACTGAAATTTACCGTAAGTAAGTGTTGCTGAAACCAGTGAAATATATGAGGCAAGTCACTTTCAACTAATAATTTCAAAGATACCCAGTCAGTGCTTTCATAAACAATTGCAGTATCGTCAGCAAAACTGATAATGTTGCCATTAAAATTTATAGAAAATAAGTTATTAAGGTATATGCTAAATAAAATTGGCCCCAGTACGGTCCCTTGCGGAACGCCATATACCACATTATTAGTTTCACTGACTATATTATCAATAATCACAGATTGTTTTCTATCTGTTAAGTATGAGAGTAGTAAATCATAGCTTCTTCCTCTAAAACCTATATTTTCCAGATTTTCAATCAGTTTCGAATGGCTGACTGTATCAAAAGCTTTGGCGAGGTCTATGAAGATACAGAGCGATGCTTTTTTTTTATCAATATTTTCATAAATGTACTTTGTGAGTTTAGTTATTGCATCTTGTGTAGACCTCCCTTCCCTAAAACCAAATTGATCATCAGAAATAATATTATATTTATTCAGAAAATTGATTATTCTTACTTTCAAAAGTTTTTCATATATTTTTGAAAAATTTGTTATAAGGGATATGGGCCTATAATTAGTCATATTGTCTTTCTCTCCTTTTTTGAATAAAGGTTTAATTATCGCTATTTTAAATGGTGTTGAGAATATTCCGCTCTTAAAAGATTTGTTTATTATATATGCCAAAGGCTTTACGATTTGATTTGATATTTTTTTAATTATTTCCGCGCGTATACCATCAATACCCGGAGCTTTGTTATTTTTAAGAGAACTGATGACATTTATTATACGATATGATACAACAACAGTAGCTTTATTATAAAGAAAACATTGGTATTCCAAATTTTATAGTAAAAAATGTTAAAAACTGTCAACAAAAAAACCATAGGCAATTTTACCCTAAGCCCCTCTAATTTACCCACCTATGAAGATGATCAAAAACTGGGGTTTAATCCAGTAAATAGAGCGTAAAAAGGTTAGCATTTGTACCAAATTTCACTTAGTTACCTTTAAACGTTTAGAAAATATTTACAAAAGTGTATCATCAGGGCTTCACTTTTAACACCCTGTATCTCGGAAAAGAAACGTTTTCGGACCTATGTTTATATGAACTTTTACTCCTATTTTAGGATCTAGATTATGCTGTTAAAATATGACCGTCTAATTTCGGGACACCCTGTATAGTCCACCGAAATTAGACAAAAAATTACTATGAAACGAACATTTTTAGTACAGTATAGATACCTAGATAACAATGAAGGTTTTGATTTCTTTTGACAAAATTTAACTATGCGCAGAGATGAGAGAATGATTGGAAGAAGACAATATACATTTTTCGGCGTTTTTCCTAGTATTTTTGTATTTTATTCAAAAACGATAGGTACGTTTTAATGAAAAATTTTACGAGATCTTTTTTGAAGAACAAACGATTTTCTATCGATTATATCTGTGTACATTTTTTTCAAACTTCATATTTTTCCCGCTAGAGCGCGCCAAAAAAAACAAATGTATATATTTTGCGGCATTTCGCATTTTACATGAAAACTTTGGTGGAACATTTCATCAGAGCTAAGTTGTAGAGCGGAAAATTTCCTATCAAACATATGAAAGATTTTTCAGAAACCCATCGTTTCCGCCGCTACAGCGTATGCTAGAACATTTCTGTTAAATATTTCGTAAACAAAGAAAATGAATACCTATGTCTGAATAAATTCCACAATCCATAATGTTGCATCTAGATTTTTTAACGAAGCGGACAGTTTTGACAAAAATTAAATGATCATTTATTGAAAAACGAATCTCACTTTACGCGCATGCGCTGTAGCGGCGGTAATTATGGAATTCTCGAAAATCTGTTTTGAAGGTTCGATAGAAAATTTTTCGCTCTACTACTTTGCTCTTATGAATTTTTTTACCAAATTGTTTGTTTTTTAAGTAAAAATGCAAAAAATGTATAAAGACAATCAATAGGTTTGTTCTTCAAAAGAAGTTCTGTAAAGTTTTTCAAGAAAACGCATCGTGTTTGAGCAAAATACAAAAAACTGGGAAAAAACGCCGGAATTGTATATAATAGTTTCTTCCGATCATTCTTATCTCTGCGCATATAAACCGTCAGTTAGTGACCGATTTAGGTGCCCCATTTTCGCATTCAAGCCTCGAAGAGGGTTGAAAAGTATATCGATGTTGAGTAGAATAAAAGAAAATTTACGAGTGGCTGGCTCTTGGGGGTGACACATGAAAAATTCGATTTTCCTTATCAGAAAAATGTTCCGCCCCAAA